GAAACGAGCCTATCAAGATATCACCTGATCTTAAGGGAAGTTCCCAAAGAATCCCTGATATATCCCTGTAGTTTCTGTAGGGCAAGTCCAATAACTCTAGAGAATACACTCTGAATGTATGAAATTTAAGCATGCGTTGTATCTTATCTCCACAATCTAGTATAATCTATAAACTATTATTTCCTAACATTCCACTTTAACCCAATAGCTCTGCTTTGGTTTAGCATACAACTACATTCTCATAGGGTCCTTTCCAAGAGTTCATGGGACATCCAAAGCAAAATGGCATTAGTCCTATTTGAAGCCCAGGAAAGAAACTGGCATTTTGGTATGTCAAGACTTGGTAGCCAGTATATAAATTCACTACCTCATTGTGATGCTTAATTTGCAGTGTCAACTTCAAGAGTGTTTTTGAATGACATTACTATTTAAATCAGTAAAATGTTAGAAAAACTGCTGCGTTCCATAATGTGGGTGGGCACCATCCAATCAGTTGAAGCCACAATAGAACGGAAAGACCAGTTTCCCTGAGTAAGGGGGAACTCTTTGTCTGCACCATCATCTCTCTTAGGGCCTGCTGTTGGCCTTTGGAGTAGATCTCATTCATCTCCTCTTTGGGGTCTTGAGCCTGCCAGCCCACACTACCAAGTTGAACTTACCAGCCTCCACAATTGCCTAAGCCAATCCCTCATAATTTTTGGCATGCGTACATGTACACACCCACACACAAAACCACACAACCTATTGCTTTTCTTTCTCTAGAGAACCTCAACATACTTGAGTATTATCATTCCCAACCTGGACATCCATATGAGTCACTACCAAGTGACTTCATACTTTTCAAAGGCATAGGACTTCCTCCAGAACATGAAGCAGGCAGGCTCAGGCCTCAGCTAAAGAATTCAGCTTTCTGTCCAACCTTGTGTGGATAACCTAGGGATCTAAGCCCTACTCTCATGAATTGTACAATGGTAGGAAGATGTACAGGGAGCTTACCTCTCAAAAATTCAAAAGGTCTACGAACAACTGAACCTATTCACCAAACTTAAACATCCTGCTTCATTTCTTGGACTAAATCAGTTACAGACAGTTATCATACTCAACCAAGGAATAAATTAATTATGCTTTACTTTGGGTAAGTCAAGAAGCTATGGGATTTAGGACATGTACACTCTCAAAGTGCTTACAATCTCAGGGAAATAAGCAATAAAGACAGACAAATTCACTCCACAAATACAAACAACAGAAATGAATATGACGAAGAATCAGAGAAAGGTGAGAACTCTATTTATGGTGTGGGAAATCCTTATGAAATAGGTTGAATACTTTGAAGTTGCCTATCTAAATGGGTATAGCAGCCCAGGTAAGGAGAAAGTCGGTAACTAGAGTGGGGAAGAACAAACTTGACTGTGGAACCAGTGAAGAGAGTTACTGATAGGAAGCACATAGTCCACTGAAGTCTGCATAAAGTTCATTAGTAACATAAAAAAGCAAAAGATCTCTTCTCGTACCTCAATTAATATGACACCATCTGAACAGGAATTCTTCATTCATTTGTTTCAGTAAAATTCAGTCATCAACAACATTACATCAACATCCAACATGGAGCTCACCCACCCTGCATTACCCTAAACTACACATACATATTTACTTTCTATTTTTTAAGTCCACATACCAAACTGTTCCACAACAACCAATAAAGAAGAGAACTAAATTCTTCCCAAGTGTTAAGACAACCTGGTTTCATTCCTGGCTCAGAGATTTGGAGCATCCTAAATTCATTCTTTTTTCCCTCTGATTTAAATAGGATAATATTGGCCACTAAGTCGTGGATACTGTAAAGATTAAATGAAATAATCTACATAAAGAGCTTAGCATAGTAACAGATGAATAAATGTCAGCACTGATAGTGCTGCAGAGCTATGAGCAACGTCAAACATTGAAATGGGAAAGACACTGTGAGCCTGTATAAATCACACACAGCTCCGGACAGCATGAAGATGCCTCCTCTGGAACTCTCCGCATAGGAACCTTTCCTGTGGGTCAAAGTAGATGAACCATGGTTTCCTCCAAAATCAGCCCGTAGGAAGTTCACAAGAAAAAGTAGGGATTGGACCCAGATTCATGGTAAAACCTCTGATGCACCATCCCCTTTCAAGGATTAAGAAAAAAAGAAAAGTAATCTAGGATTTCACAGATCTAGAACCTAACACAAAAGAAAATTATTAAGAAATAGTAATAAAAACAGCAGAACTCCTGTCATAGTTTTTCTTGAGTTCCACTATGTGTCAAGAATTGGCAATCTTTAAAATGACCAAACAGACCCTTGCCATAGGTGATTCAAGGGAGGTAAAGACTCTGCTCTGCCAAATTTCTATATCTACAAAATAGAAAGGCACAGATATCAGGACAAAAAAAAAAAGAAGAAATAAAAAAAAAGCTGGAGTAGGGAATGACAAAACTGTGCTTTTCATTTAGTTTGAAAAATTCCTATTAGAAAAAAAAACAAAATGAACCAAGCCTTGTATGCACATATGAATAATAAAAGAAAAATGAAAAAAAAATTCATAATCACAAGTCAGACACACATGCATGTGTAACCTTCACTTCTTCCTTCAGGTGACTGTCAGTTGCTCAGGCTGCTCTCAGGAACACACAAGCTTGGAAGTTACAGTGTTCCTGGCAGTTCTTAACAAAATATCACCTCTAAAACCACTGCTTCTCCTTGGTGACCAAAAAGTTCATTGCAAATCATCTCTTTCATCAACAGAACTGACACCATGTTTTGAAAAAACATGCCTATCTATACTTCTTATATTGACATTTCCCATCTCAGACTGTTTAGACCTTAAAAGATGTAGTTTATGTGTCAAGTCAGTCTGTTTTCCAAAAAATTCTATGCTATTTCAATTCTGAACCATAAAGGAATGGCACTTCATCCAAGAATACATTGCAAATATTTTCCTTTCAGCATTTATTTTGTAACTGTTTTAGGGTATGACCACTGTAATACAAAAAGGAAAAAGTTTTACGTATGTAAAAAGACGTATGTTCCTTGACTCACAATGGAAATAAACACAAGTTAAAATACACCTGATATATCTAACCTCCTAAGCTTCTCAGTTTACCCCAATCTAACTTAAATGTCTACAGAACACTAACGTTAGCCAACATTTGCAGAAAATCATCTATGGTGAAGGCTCTTCTATAATAAAGTACTAAGTATTTCCTGCAATTGATTAAACACAACACTGAAAGAGAAAAACAGAATGTGTATGCTTTCATGCCATCACAAAGCTGAGAAGTCATAAGGAAAACCATGGTGAGTTGGGGACTGGGTGTGTACAAATACGTCAATCCATTCTCTCATGACACCTGGGCATTGTTGTGCTCAGATAGGTATTGGTTACTCAAACTTTTCATTCCAGAATTTTTTTTTAATCACCTGGAACTTATTTTTGTATATGGTGAGAAAAAGGAATCTAGCTTTTGAAAGGGAATGGTGGGCTGGAGTCTAGCTCAGGGGTAGTGTGAGTGCTCTAGCATATGAGAGGTCTTGGGTTTAATCCCAGGCATCAAATAGATAAATAATAACTTTAAAAGTGACCTGGCAGCGTTTAAACACTAAGTACACCATACTTTACCACTGTTTTGAAATGTCATCTTTAAGATATGTACACATATAACATGTGTACACCATGCATGTTTCTAGCATCACTAATTTGTTCTATCTGATCTACTTTTCCATTCCTGTTGCAATTCCATGATGTAGCTTTACATTATACTTTGCCACAGTTATTGTCTATTAAAGTTATAAGTGGCTCTTGTGCTCCATTTTAATCTTTAGAATCAATCTTTCCAGTCTGCCCTCACCTCCTAACCTATATCCTCAACATGTAAATACCATTATGATTTTGATTATATAGCCCTGACCTATATAGTTACAAACAAAATTTCAAGGCCATGAATTTTTATAACCTACACTTACAAATGGTAATAATTCTCAGTGTTGTTTACTGACTTTACTCTGAAGTCAGATTTACCATTCATCTTAGAAGGAGAGACTGTTTGAAAGTAATATTCTGTTTATTAGTTTGAAATTGCCTATTTGTAAATCTGTACAGAAAATCAAACCTGCTAGTTATGTTCCCCAAATCCTTTATAGTCTCACTTTTTTGGTTTACTTAATACAAGTTTTGGAAAGATATGTACTAATATTACCCTCTGTGGATAGGGTTTTGTTACATCTTCTTTCTATTTAGAATGAAGTTTATGAATGATAAGTTTTTGTGCTATGTTTCTGACATACAAATGATGCTGTAAAAATTTCTACTAGATATAAACTAAGTGTAAACATAAAAACCCCCTCTCTCAATTCCAAGTATGGCATCATTGCAGAGGCTGCAGAGGAATCCTTCCTTTCATTGTGGTCCCCCCTTTATTTCCACTCCAAACTAGGTTTTGTCTTCTAAATAAGACACAACTACATCTGCACTTTAATCTGAGTTGAGAGTATTTGACTTTTATGAGAGAAAGTACCCCTTTATAATTAGTCTGACAATAATGTTACCCTAATTACTGACATACCAGTTTAATTTTCCTTTCTATAATACTTTTTATTGTACTTAGTCCTTGCTTTTTTCTGTGCATGAATCAAGTTTTTTTATTAACATTTTCCCCGTTTTATAGAAACGTATAGTATTTCACAACTCATGAAGTACTTTGCCATATTTGTCGAACTGCCAACTTTACCAAAGTTGTTCTCTTGTATTATACAAATGATAGGAAGTGACTTTATTAATGTCTCTCTCTTTTTTATGTCTGTCTGACCAAAACTAATCACAACATACATTCCATCTGGGGTAGAACCATAGCTGTTTTATAAAATAAGACTACTTTGGCAAAAAGGCAGGGCAAGTAATGTCATATGCAATTAGTAAGAAGTTAGCTTTATTTATCTTTCCAACATCTCTATATCCTGCAAAAGACAAAGCTCTTACCGTTTCTTTTGGAATCTGCATCTGGCTTGGCTCTGCATTCTAGAAGAATCGAAGAAAAACATAAATACAGACTGACCAAAGCCATCTTTAACACACAGGGACACAATGCTTTATTTGAAAGGAGATTTTGTTGGTTCTTAAAGTCCACAAACTGTAAGGGTGATTATATGATGGCTGGTATATTACTCTGTCTTTCAAACTTCCACTGTTATATGTGGTATTCTTGTGCAGATTTTGAAAAATGTTTTCTAGATAATAAATTTTCACTTTCTCATTCATACTACATCATGAATTTATTATTTGTAGGGAAACAAATTTCACTAAACTGACTTCCTCATCATGGCAGTTTCTAGCTTTGTTTTTTAACTTTTCCAACCAACTCTAAGTTTTACAGTATAGGGTCATTTGATAGCTAGACAGATAATAACAGCCTATAATCCCAAGCTACTTTAATATATTACACAGGAAATAAAGATGGTAATTTTTTCCATATAGTATAGGGTACTGACAAGGTGGAACTTAGGTTTTTTTGTTTTTTTTTAAAGGCACATATTGATGAAAGTATGTAGCTTACAGCCCACAGAATTCAAACACAGACACCCCAAACAGAGGAAAGGAGAAAGGAGTTACACTAATTGGATTACACTAAAGATCATTTTTAAATACCCCCCTCATTTTTAAATGCCCCCCTCCTTTAAGTTTTCAGAATTTTATTCTTTTGAATCTTGAAAAGCAGCTGCAATGTGCATAATAGACTGACAGTCTACTGGCTCACTCCTTAATGAAAAGCTCACAAGCAATAAATTAAATAACCAAGGGGAAAAAAAAGAGAGGCAGCAGACGGGCAAAACAGAAGCTTGGAAGACCCAAATTGGAGGAGAAGCCGAATAACCTCAGGCTGGCTGTGTGCTGGCACTCGCTCTGGAGGCTGCTGAAGAGCAGTGTCTATGCCTGGCAATCTGATAACACTACTATCATGGCTGGGAGACGCCCAGGAAGAATGAAAGCTTCATCAAATCCCTGGAAAGCTGGGGGGTGGTTCTGGTAAGTGCTCATTTACAATTTGATAGAGACATCTCCAGATTTAGGATCAGGTGGCATGTTAAGCACAAAATTGGATAACAGTGGGGGGAAATGGAAAACTGAATTTAAATTGACAAATAATGCATTAAACATTTTTTAAATATAAAGAAGCTTTCATAATTAATTCAAAATCAACCTAAAACAAAAGTGCTCGCTTCTCAACCTATCATGGCCTGAAATTGTGACAAAAATCACATGTAATCACATGTAATAAGAACATGGGGTATTCATGACTGAAACTTACCCTTTGTTTTTGATAAATAGTTATATAAATAAATGTAATTTATATAAAGACAAAAATATTTATTTTATTTATAACAAAAGAAAAATCTTATCAACCATGACACATCCATACTTGACAGTATAACCTAAGAGAATTAGGTCTGTCTGACTAATTTGGGAACTACACTCCTAAAACCTTGCCACTGTACTTTCTACTGAGGAACTGTTGTTTAACTACAGCTAAAAGCTGGCTGAGAGAGATGTCAAATACTCTAAGATGGCTCAAATCAAATTTGTTTTAAAATATTTAAAATACCACTTGTACTTGAAATAATACAATGTTCTCACCACATCAAAAGATAAAGGCAGTTATTCCAACTATGTCATTTTTAAATGAAGTTTTAGCAAGGATTTATTTTAATATAACAGGATAAAATATAGGCAAGAAGGGAGGGGAGAGAGAGAAGCATTTATTGTTCCCAACACAGGAAATGGGAGCAAGGACTCCATATGTCATTTTTATATATAAAGGAAGCATAACACCTTTTGCAGAAAAATATTCAGAACTACATGTGTATTATACATATTAAATTCCCACCAATAGCATTTAAATGTCACTATGTAATAGATGTACTGAGGTAAGTGCAGATAGTTGCAAAGCTTCATTCATTTCTTTATGTCATTCCAAACAAGGTTATCAATAGGGGTGATTAATAGCCATGGGGCTTACTGCCATTTAGGTCTTTTTATTTTCAATATTAATAATTTTTAAACAAGGTACTCCTTTTCATACAACAGTAAGCAAGCATCTTTAATTGGCTAAGCTACATTTACTATGAAAAATGAAAACTTGTCATATGTAGAGGAGATGATGGCTTTGGAGTGACAGTTGTGAAATAACTGACATTTTGCTTTTGGTCAGTTTATCTGAAAGTATACAATTATGAACACTTGATTATCTAAATATATCCCTACATCCTGCTTATTAAATGCCTGTGCACTCATTTCTGAGAATGTCCATTTCTCAAAAAGAGATGTAGAGACAAGAATGCTTGGATTGAGTTAGGGCTGAAAGAAATAGAAAATACAGAAACTCCTTAGAAAAAAGTGTCTCCATAAACATTCACCGCCAGGTAGCTAACCCAGATCCCTGGCTCATGTGCGTGAGAAATCTTTCATCTGCTCTAAGTTTACACACCAGTTCCCTTGGGTGGAAGGCATCTTCCTGGCGAAAGACCAGAAGGCTCACGGTCCCTTCCATCTTGGTGCTTCTCAGCAAGGAGACAACTTCCTCTTGAGATTTGCCAGCTAAGTCTACTCCATTTACCTAAAACAACCAGAAAGTTTTCAGCCTCAATCTTGTATAAACAGAAAACAAGAAAAGACACACATTAGAACTGAACATATCTGCTATGGAACACACTCGTTCCATACTACATTCAGCCATGACCTAATAATCACTAAGCTTCTGTGGCTAATTAAAAAAAACCTAGACCAGATATCATGAAGTAAGCTAGGAAGTAATAAATCTTTTAGTGTTCATCAATAAACCAGAAGCTACAACCACCTGGGCATTAACAAGTAAATAAATAAATGCATCTAAAATGTCAAGTTAACACAAAACTTACTGGTTTTTGAACTGAGGTATTTTAATGGCCTTGTATATCACGAGTTTTCTCATGCCAAAATAAAAAGGGATTGTTCTTATAAGAAGGAGTAAAAGTACATCAACAATATTTAATGCTTTGGTACAAATGTTGCAAGGTTCAGTAAAACTTTATGGAAAATTATGAAGAGAAATATTCTACCTGTAAAAGATAAACACTAAATATTAATGAAAAATCACTATAAAATAACAGTTACAGAGGGGAAGCAGTATTTCTTCTCAGTTATTTTTTTCTGGTACTTGAACGTGCACTCTACCAGTTGAGCCACACCTCCAAGCCTTTTTTGGGTGTGTTTTTTTGATAGAGGATCTCACATACTTGCCCAGGGCAGCCTTGGTCTGTGATCCTCCTAACTGTGCCTCCCAAGGAGTCGGAATTACAGGAATGCACTGCCATGCCCAGCTCATTTTCCAGATAGGTTCTCCTTGACTTTTTGTCCAGACTAGACTTGGACTTCAATCTTCCTGCCTCCACCTTCGGAGTAACTGGAATTATAGTCATGTGCCACCATGCACAGCTCATCTCAGTTGTTTTGTTTTGTTTTAATGTTATAAGCAAATTCTAGCAGGAAGAAGAGATTCCCGTTCTTAGGGGAATCTCATTAGTTTTATCTTAAAGGAAGTATAACATCAGTTTCAAAAAGCTCTATATAGTTAGGAGAAATAAGAACATAAAAATTCTTTTAAAAAGAATTCTGTATTGTTCTCTCTAGACAAAATTAAAATTTTACTCAATAAGTTGTAATATCAAAAACTTCCTGTAGTGGAAATATGTCTTAGAACACTGGCTTTTCTGTGAAAACAATCTTACATGCTGCTGCTACTAAGGTGCTGTGGGAAACAGGTGACAACAGTTCAGAGAAAGTGAAAAGATTCTAGGCAATAAGGGGAAAAACGTTGGTCACTTAAGCCTTTTTCCTTTTTTTTAAATTCATTTATTTTATTGTTTTTACATGTACTCACACATGTATACATTGTTTGGGTCATCTCTCCCCCCTCCCCTTCCGGGCAGAACCTCCTCCCTCTCGTTCTCTGATTTTGTTGAAGAGAAAACGTAAGAGATAATAAGAAAGACATAGTGTTTTTGCTAGCTTGAGATAAAGATAGCTACACAGAGAGATTCCTAGCATTGCTTCCATGCACATGTGTATTACAACCCACATTGCTTCATCTCTACCAGACCTCTTAGCTACTTCCTGGTCCCATGGTGGCCTCTGCCAATTTAAGATTACTTAATTCGCTCCTCTACAGTGAGCACCCCAACCACATTCAAGTTTTAGGTTTCCTTTCCTTTTTCTATTCCTCCTGTGTGCAGTCTCCCCTTAGTGTGTGACCCATGTGCAATAATATTACTGCATTTGTTTTAGGTTTATAATCTACATATGAGGGAGAACATGCGATTTTTGGCCTTCTCAGCCTGGCTAACTTCGCTTAAGATAATGTTCTCCAGTTCCATCCATTTACTTGTGAATGACAAAATTTCATTCTTCTTTGTGGCTGAGGAAAATTCCATTGTGTATAAATACCCCATTTTCTTAATCCATTCGTCAGTAGTGGGGCATCTTGGCTGTTTCCATAACTTGGCTATTGTGAATAGTGCTGCAATAAACACGGGTGTGCAGATGCCTCTGGAGTTACCTGTGTCACATTCCTTTGGGTATATCCCCAGGAGTGGTATTGCTGGATCATATGGCAGATCTATGTTTAATTTTTTAAGAAGCCTCCATATTTAAACCTTTCTGTGTATGATTCCAAATATCTAGACATGCAGAAGCACTTTCCACGAAATTGTCAATATTAAATAGATACGATTATAGATATTAGAAGACAGGGTTTGAAACATGCAAAACTAAAGTTTCAGATTTAAAACAAACCTGACAGCAATAGAAAGCCTGATTGTAAAGAAACAGGGATGCAGGGCATTCCCACTGCTCAAAACCTCTGTGATGTGTGGAAAGTAAAACTCACAATCCCAGTGATTATATCTAGAAAGAGAAGAGGAGGAGAGAGGCGGGGGAGCAGTAAAAGAGAGACAAGGGCTTGGGGCATGGCTAAAGTGGTATAGCACTTGCCTGACAGCACTGGCAAGGACCAGTTTACAATCCCCAGCACCACAAAAAAAAAGAATGTTAGAAGCCAGGAAGACTAGATTCAAGTCTCAAGTCACAACTGAGACTCTTACTAAATGAAACAAGCCAAAACTGCAAAGTAGGACTAAAACTATATAGTTTATATGCCAAGGACATGTGGAGCTTTCTGGAAGCAATGCCATAAACATCACTTGGGCTCAAATCATTCCTGGTCCTTAGCCTTTAAAAAATGCTGTTGCATGCACAGAATGAAAAGGAAGGGTATAAGATTTAAGGGATCAAGACCCAAGATGTATAAATGGGAAAAAATATGGAAACTATTCTTTGGTTCAGCTACTTTAAAGAAATCTTTTGAGAACTCAATTAGAAGGTCAAAACTAGGACATTAGTATTTAAATAAGAGTTGCTGTGAAAACACAGTATCTGCCAAGAATACAGACTGTGAGGTGAGGGGACTGTGGCTCAGAGGAAGAGCACTTGCTTATCATGCAAGGGACCAGGGTTCCACCCCCAGTGCCACAAAAAAACAAACAAAAACCAGAGGATGTTTCCAGGAGAAAACACTAAGAAAAAGAGCTAATGAAGTGCACAAACAGAAATTACATATGTGTTTCCACAATGGCCTCAAACACCAGTGAAGCTAAAACCATGACGTACAAAAAGAAAATTTTCAAAATGTGTTTTTCTTTTTCCTGACATTTGACTTTGGTGTCTCAATTCATTCTCCAGGCTGCCATTTCAAATGTCTCTTGTTCCTTTCTTCAAGCATACTATTTTTGTTTCATTTGCTTCTGTTCTGATTAAAAAGTAGATACCTTTTCTATGTTGCCCAACATAAATATAAAACCACCTAGAAATATAACCTTATTGACCGGGTACTTATATAATGAAAATGTTACCTTACCTCATAAACCAAACATCTGAATAACTAAGAATTTGTAAGTAATCTAAAAGAAAAGGTAATTTCTCATTAGCTAACACATAAAAATAAAAAGAACAGACTACATTATTTTGTGGCACACACTTATGCTAAAATGTGTAATTTCATAATTTATGAAAATGTGAAAAATTAACACTTTAAAATGGAACTTTTCAGGAATTATGGAAGTTACTTAGAAGTCACTCACCTCTATGAGTCTATCTCCTGCCTTAAGTCTGCCATCTTGAATGGCAGCTCCTCGGGGGAGAATGTTTTTCACATAAATTGGAGCTGAGCCACCTATTGTCACATCTCGGGAAGTGATGCTGAATCCCAAACCTTCTGTACCTAAATATGTAACAGAAAAAAAATAGGATGTCATGCTGAATTTTACATGTATATTGCATAGCAAAGATTTGTTGCTATGACCCAGGTGAACTTCACATTTTGTAATATTCACAGTGGCTTATATTTCTTCAAATACTTTAGAAGTTGTAACACATTTTTTAAAAATAATCTGAATTAAGAAAAGGTTTAAAAGATTTATCTATCAAAAGCCATTAATCTTTTGGCAATCTTCTCAAAGAAATGAAGCTTATTACACAAATATGCCTGCTAAAACTTCTTAAATCAATCTTAAGTCTTTGAGTATCAAATGAACAATTGCTCTACTTGAGGAGAGAAAAAAAAACTTCAATTACAACCCATGGTACCTCAAAAATCAAGTGTTATTGTGCAATAGTCATACCTGGATTTGAGAAGAAGGTAAGAACAGGGAGGAGAAAACGTGCAGGAAGATGAGAATAATGAACTGAGTAATATTTTAGATATAAGTAGCAGACCCTCCTCATCCACAATTACAGCAATTTACTGAGAGCATGAACCATGTTATCTTCGTGAAGTTCTCTTCCAATTAATCTACATCTTACTATGTATATGCCACCATTCCCTCACCCCACCCCTGCAAAACAAGGGTCACTTACTCAGTGAAAACTCATTACAGATCAGAGCTACCAAGTCTGAAGATCACTCTGTTATGTTTAGAGGTACCAAAAATAATGAGGCATTAATAAATTACTCTCTTTATTTCTATAATTTAAATTCTCAGTTCTTTGGCAGTTTTTTTGACAAGCAATCTTCTGAGCATAATACAGTGTAGAAAAGGGGTTATATGTCATTAGAACCAACATGCAATAACCCAAAATGTGCCAAGAAAAAAAAGTGAAGATAATGACATACTTCTAATGAATCACAGAATTTTTATAACACTTTTAATAATGTGTAATCTCTACCTAAACTTTGCAAAAACAACAACAAAAAGCTCCCTTCATGGGATATTAGATTCCATTAAGTTAAAATAATATTAAGCAAATGCTTGCTCGTTATGAGAAGAATAAAGAGATTTATAAACAAGAAACATCTAGAGGCAGCGTATATTAATTAGATGCAGCATTCAGTGTAAAGCTATGATAATGGTATAACACATACGTGGACAGACAAATACAGGTAGATAAAAATGTGGGTTAAAGGAGAAATATTCAATAATACTGGTAACAAAGCCTACCATAAATATTCTGAAGTTCAAACACAACATTCATTTACTTTTAGTGGGAAGTCACTTTAATGTGCCTGGACTGTTAATTTCTTTAGTCTTCGGTGCTGAAGACCTGAATGGCATATTGTCTATATGAAATTTTCCTAATTATACTTCTGGGACTTTTCCATATGTCTCTGTGCTTTCACGGAACTCTAATGACTTGCAATAACATTTATTAAGAAAGAATTCTAAATTATTCTCCTTTTGCAATATTAATTTGTATGAACTACAAAGACTGACTGCTATATGAACCTCAATTCTATTAAAATATCAGCAATAACCCCTAAATCTGTAAGCTAAAAGTTCAGACAATGACCTTTAAAAGAAAGATAAACAGATATCAATTTTCATTTAGCAAAGCCAACAAAACATTTTGCTCTGACTGAAACAGATTACTGACCTTCTCCTCTGACTTTAATAAAAAGCTAATTTCTAGAAAAGAGCAGGCTATTTCAGAATGCCAAAATGGCAATAAATATTAAGAAATCATAATTATGGGAGCAAGTATATTGAGGCTATTCTATTTTGTCATGTTATATGTCATAGTTCCAAAATTATGTCAAAGAGTAATTACCACAAAGGCTTCTTTTTAGCATTAAGATTTGATTCCACTTTTTAAATAATTGCTGTCACTCCAAAACATGATACTTCAAATGAATTTAAAGTTTAACACTAGCCCACTATGCTTTTAATGTACTTCATTAAAAATTTAAATGGAACAAAAATTGGCAAAAAAAAAAAAATGACCTGCTAGCTACAATGAAATCTTGTTTAATAATTCTCTTACAATAATTATTGAAATATCTGTATTTGGTTTTAATCAAAGGGAATCAGCATTCTTCCTCCTTCTTATTTATAGTAAGCATAATTTGTGCTTTTATCAAATATTTGTAAGTGCTGGTAGCACGCATAGGTGGTATGTACTTTTTGTTATACATTCTGTCTATAGTAAATTAAAATCAAGGTATATCTATGGGGCCCTACTTCATTTAGATTATTCAAGGTCAGAAAAATATTTAAAAGAAAATCATCATTTCCATTTTTCTTATATTGATTAAGCATAACCTTTCTAAATTAGCTTGTATAAATGCAATCATATCTGTCTAAATGCTATTAAAACAAAACTACTAATGCCTATATTTAAGAAAATTGTTCTTTTAATGGAAAGTAAATTTTCACTTCATTAAAAAAGTCTACATTATATCACAATTTGTTAAACCTATTGGTTGTATGAAACTATAATTATGAAAATGAAAATCCCTCTATTACTAAAAAAGGGAGACAATATTTATGACCTAATATTATTATGACAATAGTCAAGTAAACTATTTTATCTTCATTGAAAGATTCCAGGTAAAATCTTTTTTTTTTTCCCTACAACTCTATTTGTGGTTCTTGATACATTTTTGGTTATACACTTAAGTCCTGGTTACACAGGTTTTGGTTATACACTAAAGTAGAGAAAAAAAGAGGAGAGAGAATCTGGTCTTTCTATCATGGGGGAATGGGCAGTGGTAGAGTGGGTTTCTGCTGACGCACCTCTGTATTTGCAAGGCACATAGGCAAGCTGTCACCTCCTGGTCATGTAAACCAAGTGTTTGGAACTTAAAAGCCAGTAACCAGAAAAAAGTTCCTGTGGTTCACACAAAGTTCAGTGAATGAGTATGACTTAGAAAGGAAGTAGCAGTTTGCAGCCTTGTAAACACTGCCTCAGATGGAAAGAAGAATGATCTGAATACCAGGCAGGAGCCAAAAGTCCAGTAAGAACCTGCTGCCAACAACCACATGACCTGGAGAAATCCTCTCTGGATGGATTTCCATCCACTTGGGTGAGCTCAGAACAATATTTTCCATAATGAAGTCATTTCCAAAGACATGAGTTTAAAATGCATCAAAATGCCCGGCTAAAATGGAAGATGAAAAGCCAAAGTATATCTCTGTATTATTAAAAGGTAGAGTCCAGCAGTCTACTCTGGGCTGTGGGGGAAGCAACTACACAAACATGCTCCCTCTACACACGGACCCACCATCTTTGGAAGAGAGACACTTTAGTCAACTGGTAAAGGTGTAGGAAGAATTAGCAACATCGATGACAACTTCTCACATCACCTTAAGAAGGGAAACAGCATGTATTCTAGAAAAGCACAACCAAAGAGACAAGGCCCGGCTGCTGGACAACATGGTAGGAACCTTTGACAACCTCAAACAGATGGGTCACTCCCAGCACCAAAGTACTGGGGGCGGAAGTTCCCAAGCCCCAGTCGTTCCCTTAAAGGTTATGTCTGGACAGCAAGTCGCCAAGTGAAAGGCCAAATCCTCACTGTTGTTCTAGGTTTGGAAAGAAAACCCTGAAACAATTTTGACCCATTATCAAAATCTTATTGCAGAAGAAACTGCAAGCTTCTTGGGAATGCTGTAATGTTTTATTATTTGAATTTTGCATTTTAATTTCTATATAGCAAAATGAATCTAAAAACCACAAAATACAATTTTAAATATGTTCAAAAGTAAGCTGCAGCCAGGATTAGGGATGCACACTTACAATCACAGCACTTGGGAGGCTGGGGCATTGAGGATCATGAGTTGAAGTCACAATCAGCTTGTAAGTTGTTTTTTCACATAATACTGAGTTAAAACTCAAGGCTGGAGATGTAGCTAATAATAGACTACTTGCCCAGCATGTGCAAGGCCCTAGGTTCCACTCCCCAGCACCATAAAAAGCAAAACTCAAGGTGCTTTTGGTTAGTTGGTTGACTTTTAAAAGGAATTCCATCAAGCAAATACAAGCTAGGTCGTACCTTTCTTAAGCTGGATATTGAACCTCTTGCCTACTTTTTTGGTGTTATAACCACTGCTTGCAGTAGTAGTAAATACATTCTGTGGGCCCAGAGCTGGGGCAGCCGGTGGTTTGGCGGAGGGGTGTGCACTATGAGGTAGTCGTGGGTGAGCATCTATCTGCTCGGGCGGGTGGGTGAGTCTAGGCGGTCTCTGCAGAGCCTGAGGCCCAGCATTGGTCACACTCCTGCTGTCCATGTACTGCCTGTCCGGGCTGAAGCGGCTGGAATAGTAGTTGTTCTTCTCACTTTGCGACAGTTGTTCGTACTGCTCTTTATTTGCAGCAGGGACCACATGGAACCAAATGATGGGTGTACGCATGGCTTGGCGGAACATATGTTGTGCTCTGGGTTTCAGAAAGAATGGAAGATTAGCAAATGAAGACTGGCATGTCATAAGCTTAATTAAATATACTAATTAAGCAATAAGAACTGACAGACTGTTGAAACTGAAAAGCAAAATTCTGATAACCCATTTGTTAATCAAGTTTGCGAGCTCTGATATAAGCAGAGCTGTTTCTCCAAATATAAATTTCTCATTCACTAAATAAAAATGGCAGGCCTATCTTTGACTATAGATAAAATATAGTGCTCTCAACTGTAAATCACTATCAATTTTCAGTACAGCAGGGGTATTCTAATTTTAATATTAATAAAAATCAAATGCAGCCTTCTCTCTACAACATTATCAATACAATTTTTTATCTTATCTTATTAGGATATATTCCTCGTACAGGGGGGATTCATTGTGACAATTACAAATAGGCTTACCTATTTGTAATTACCTATTACCTATTACCATTCACCCCCTCAACCATCTCCCCAACCCACTTAAAGCAATTGCAAGAGGTTGCTTTTTTCTATTTCATATATGAAGTCCATCAACCATATTCCCTCATCTTAATCTCCTTAGTTTACCCTTCCCCCTTCCACAAGTACCCCCTCACACACTGTACCTATTATACAGTCCTATCTTTATTAATAACTAAGTCAATTTTCAAAGGGGTTTCTCAATTTATGCCAGCTATGTATCCAATACAATTTGTAAAAAGCATATTTCTTTACAAAGTAGCCATATGAGTTTTCAAAGAAATATTTGTATTAATATATTTAGAAAGCAAATAACCATCCACTCACTTATCATCAAAATTAGTGTATATATGCAAAAATCTCAAGAACACTAGTCTCCAAAAGCAAAACACAACACAACAATAACAACAACAAAATCATCTGGGTTTGTAGTTCAGCAGTAGAGCACTTATCTAGCATAAGCAAGAGCTGGGTTCCATCTACAGGCCTGGGGAGATGGGAGGAAGAACACAGAACACCAATCAAGCCTCAATGATTCCAAATGTTACCAGCAGTGGAGTTCTAGGGCTATCCCACCACCAGCCTGAGAGGCATCTCCATCTCATGCAGTTCCCAGTCAGATCTCAGCCCAAGTTGTTGTTGTTTTTTTTTTTTTTTTTCACAGTACTGAGATGGGAACTCAGGGTTTTGCACTTGCTATGCAGGTGCTTTACCACTTGAGCCACGCCTCCAACCTCACCCCAAGTTCTTAAGACTTTTACTCACTGAAATAGCCAACATTTAGGGTTTTGTTTTGTTTTTTTTAATTGAATAGGGGCTTGAGTCAGGATAAAGAAACTCTGAATAAGACACAATATCGTGGTTCAAAGAAGCTTTTTCTGCTTATTTGTGCTGAGGGACATTATTCAAGTATAACACAAACGAGCACAGAAAAAAATTTTATGAAAGGTGAGAAACCAACAGAATTGCAAAGCCTAAATTGGGCCCATAATATTTTAAGAAGAACTCTGTTGGTCAGAGGGCATTCTGAAGCATAGTCTAATGTAGTAATTACCTTGAGTTTGATTAAAATTTTAAAAGCTAGATAATGGCATAAAACACTCCTCTCTAGTACCCAGCGCTCAGGGACACATGGGAGCATTTCAGTTGACCACGCTCCATCAACCTACAGCATGCAGGACCTCAGTGCCACCACACACTTACTGTTCAAATCTTCTATTTCGAAGGTCACCATCATTAATCCTGACAATGCAATCGTTCTCATGAAAAAGGTTTTCTTGTTCAGCTTTGCCACCTTTCTCCAGTCGTTTTACTAATAACCCCAGGGTTCTGGAACATTAAGAATGTAAATGATTACACATGCAATATTTCCACTATGCACAACGTCCTGTTGTCTAATGCTGGTATTGTATTTACAAACACTCCACTATAAAGGAATGCATTAAATCCCTACTAATACATTTTAAAATAACACTAAGACAAATATCACGACCATCTAAATGATCTGTAGAAATGGACCCTTTCAATAAATGTAAGAAATCATTTTCTGGGCCGTCAGTATTACAATCCTGAAACTAATGCATACTACTCTCTACGTTTAAAAATGCCCCAAACAGAGCCTGCCTAAGGGTTAAGTGAGCACGTTTTTGTGAATGGCTTTGGTGGTTTTGTGTGATATGCTGCTGATGGCAACCTCTGTCTTTCTGTTACAGCAAAGGTAATGAGGGTTGGTCAAACTCATTGCACTGTAGGTTTGAGAAGGTTAATAGAAAAAACTTCAAAAATAGAAGCGCCTCTGTGCATGGCATTTGAAATCGACAATAAGGTCTATTACTTGGAATTTCAAAACTTGTTAGGTCTCTCAACTAAGGGAAGTAATTAGTTGCTAGGATTTCCATTTGAGAAAAAAAAATGGAACAAAATCAGTAAATGATGTGAATCCTTCCAGTCACCATTCACCCCTTCCACATGTGTTCTCAAGCTTCAGGCTAAAAGAGGCCTTTGAATGAACCTGTTAGAGTTACTTTGGCGGTAATTATTATATCTTTCCTGCAACTATTTATCTCCTCCACCTCATCTCTACTATTGCATTGTGTGATCCGAGAAGATGGGATTCAGTAATACACACTCACACACTTGGCTAGTAGGAAGTGCTGATTAAGTGACAAATGGATGAATGGATGGCTGAATTTAGTGGAGGCAAACAAGCCTCATATCTCTAACAAGCTTTTTGCAAAATAGAATACAAATGAATAGAATTTACAGGTAGAGCTTTTTCATTAAGGTATCATTATAATAAAGATGCCATTGAACAGATATGAAATGAAATTGAAGCAAAAGTCCCGTTTCCCTTGTTATTTTGCAATTTAACCTTGTTTCTTTCATGAATATTTATAATCTCATTGATTAAGTTCATTTTAATGCTTATAATTAAATATATTAAAGAGGTTTGATCCTAAGGTCAAGTATGCCAACTTGCAAGAACACTAACGAGGTAATGCTTAAGTTGTCCTTTGCAAATTTTCCAGTTGAGGATAAGCATCTATTAGTTAATTCTAAAAATACTAGTAGTGAATGATTAAAAAAGTGATGCAGGCAATTTCTAGTTTCTTACTTCCACATATTAGAACTAAGTCTACATATAAAACTTAACTCAAAGGCATGAATAAGGTATACTGATTTAGTTGCATGAGCAACTTAAGTGTCTCATTCCATATTTAGAAGGAAGAGATTCTGTAATATGTGAGACCAATAATTAAGTTATTATCAAAATGTTAGCATGTCCACAATCTGACTCCTTTGGCTTACCTATGGGCTTAAGCTTGTTTCTGTTTTCAGTTGAACAGTGTTCAGTCATAGGAATTCAGCAAATTGTTAAGCTATATCAGTCATATATAGTGATGCATGCCTGCAATCTGAGCATTCAGAAGACTGAAGCAGGAGAACTGTGAGTTCAAAGCCAACCTGGGGTATACAAAGAGTTCTAGGCCAGCTTGGGCTGCACAGTGAGAAATTGTCTCAAAAAAAAAAAACAGGATGTATCTAGGATTCTAGTGACTAGAGAAGAGTTATATGAAAAAGTCAAATTAAATCAATTACTGCTACAATTGGAATGTGAAGTCATCTGGTGACTTTATCTTCAAACCAACAAGGGAAAGAAGAGCTTGAAGGCAAAGATAATCATCCACAGATAATTCTAATATAACCATATGTATGCTGGCACACCTACTACAAAAAATTACCTCTATAGACCAAGAACATTCTTTGTTTCTGGGTGCATGATTTGGAGCAGGGTCTCCCCATGTGGCCCAGGCTGGATCAAACTTCCCATCCTCCCGCCTCAGTCTCCTGAATGCTGGGATTATAGACATGCACACATCTATATTTTAAAGAGCATGTATTCAGTACCTATAATAAAAATGCTATATCAAGACTGACTCTGGTTAATTAGAAAATAATGATTTTAATTATGGGAATCATAAATGATTTCTCAATACGATTATAACATTATTATAACCTAAAATGATAAAGAATTAGCTTGTTCTATCATTCTGAAGTATTTTGTGTAATTTAAAACAGCCCCCCAAAAGTTTCTAGAGAAATACATATTGACTATATTTAACTAGTTCTGATTATTAGCTTAAATTTGTGAATTTATTTCCAATAGGTCCTTTCAGTATTTATGAGAGTTTAAATAGTGTAACTAAGCACAAAGCTCTGGGTTCAATCTCTAGCAAAAACAAACAAACAAACTAAAATACAAACAAACCTGCCTTCTAGACACAGTGGTTTACACCTGTAACCTGAGTTACTTGGGAGGAAAATGTAGGAGGATCACTTAAATTCAGGAGTCTGAAGCAAGCCTAGGCCAAATATAGTTAACATTTGTTTCTAACAAAGTAACTAAGTAGTAACAAACTAACCAAATGAAGGAATGAATACAAATGAAAAGTATAACTTAAAAATCTGTATTTCAACTCTGTGACATCCATAATTTTTTTCAGATAAATAGATGAATGGATTTATACTCATTTAAAAAAATATTTTTTTCCTGGCAATCAACCTATAAATAGCAGTCTAAAGTAAAAAACAGTCTGTGTTTCATTTATTGAATGGCTAACCTTCTGAATTAGTTCTTCTGTATGGCCAAATGCATCAGTAATCCTAACATAAAGGAAAACGTTACAAACCATAAAAAAAAAAAATGCACCATCACAGTGAAAGAACACATAATGGAAACCCAAGCTTAGCATCCAACATCACTACAATAGTCACATAAGTTTCAGAGCCCTTTCATTCAGTTTTGGCATCTAGATAACGTGTGGGATGGGGTGGGGGGGGGGCCTCAGAGAAAGAGCTGCAGCCTGAGTGACACAGCAAGAGATCAGGGAACCAGGAACAGAATGAATTAAGGTGAAGTTAGTACTTGCTGGTTTCTTAAGAACAAAGAATTAACTCAAAAGTACAGTGGTACAATCTGCAAAGTTATCTCATTCACTCCACTATGTGAAAATGATTACCAAAGAAATGGGAATGAATGATTACAAAAAAAAAAAAAAAAACCTTCACAAGAAAACTGCACTGACAACAGCAAGCCTGAGAATGAAAAAAGCTCTGAAGAGAAATACACAGGAAGTGGCAACAATAGACACTTTCATGATTCTGGAAAAGGATGAGTATAAGCCATCAATTTCCATATCTGCCACTCCCGATTTAAAGCTATCTCCAACGGAATGGTACAACTGAGGTATAGATTTGCAAACTCAACCCAGCACCTAGAGTTTGTGCTGAAGTAATAAAGAATCAAGTACCTGAGGTGGTGTGGCTTCCACAACACTTGCATTGGAATCACTGTACCTACTGAGGTTCTGGACTTGTGGGCATGCCAGCGTGCTGGTGTACAGAACCGCTTTTCTTCCTGGCAGTTAGTGCCAGCATTTCCTATGGAGGCAACCACATTGAGCAGAAGCTGCCACTGGGTGAAAAGCAAAAGGGGTGGCATACGGGGTGGTATCTCTGGGGAATGATTCCAGTATCAGAACGACCCCAGACTGGTTGCTGCCAATTCAGACAGCAGAAAAGAGCTGGTGCATTATTAATGGGGTCAGGCAGATTAATGGAGAAATTAATCTCCATTAATGGAGAAATGACTGAACCCTATAGTCATTTCTTCACCTCCTCTAGGAACCTAGTGAAAACTCTACTTGACTCTCTGCTTTTCAAGCAATGGATGTTTTTCTCATCAGTCTGAAACCTTCTACTCTTCTTATACTGTTTACTATAGTTTTTTATTTTTTTCAAATTTTGGCTAAAAGACGGGGGCAGGGAGAGGGAGAAAGCAGCAAAGGAAGGAAATACTGTATTCACTGTATACAAATCTCAATTCCAAATAATTTTCCTAAAATAAAAAAAATGCAATTACATATTTCTTTCAAGCTTTTCCTTGTAGTTTTTGAACAATATCTCTAAAAAAAAAAAAAAAAACAACAAGGACGAACACAACCGAGGGAAGCTAGCCCTTGAAAAGTGCTACATCTTTGTATGTGATTTTGGATGCATAATTAGAAATTTAACTGCTTAGATTATATTAAGGATTGCACCACTACATTTTTACAAGGTTCATTAGCCTAATTATACACTTAATTAAAACAAACTCAGTCACACATGTTAACATTTTCAATTCTAAGTATAAATTACAACAAATGCTAAAACTGAAAATAAGTAACAAATGTTTTATTGACATCTAAATTGGCTGAGTTAGTCTGAGTTTTGCTTTGATCATGTAAACTCCCACAACTGTTACCCAGCTGTATGGAAATGATCATAATTCATGTTAATAAAAGCTGACACCGTATAAACACCACAACTGTAGTGAAGGCGGAGTATGAATAGGCAGAAGGGGATCCTATCAACAAGAAGCCATCACCTCCCTGTGTGCCACGCAGGGGGGCCAGCAATTACCTACACAAACCCTGACAACCATGGCCAACGGACATACAGACAGCCACTAAACAAAGTTTAAAGACACTCCTAGTTAAAATTAAAATCTTGATTTTTAAAATATGTTTGGGATGGGGGTGTAGTTCTAGGCATTTGCCTAGAATTTGCAAGACCCTACGTTAAATCCCAACTTGCCACAAAAAATAATTGATTAATTTAATAAATGAGAAGGAACAGCCAAAATAGATAAGCAAAAATGGGAGTTTCTTCAGATGAAGGCAAAAATGACAGACATTATTCTACTACACTTTTAAAATACAGGATTTATCAAAATGTAGCATAATATTATTCTCTCTAAATAAATGCATGTATTATGGTCCTTTCATATA